TATTCTATTCTATTCTATTCTATTCTATTCTATTCTATTCTATTCTATTCTAAGTATTTCAGCTTTCAACACTTTAACCAAAAGGGGGTGCTGATGTTCAAATGTTTATACGCTATTGACATAAGTATGGAATTTTAAAGAGACGAGACATAACATCTTGACAGAAAATAATAAGCTCTATCCTAGAATAGAGGAAAAAATTAGATGAGTCTAAACCTCATTGAAAAACAAGAAATTAAATCCACTTCCCTTCAAGTTAAGCATTAAAGATTAAGGATATTCTGAAAGGCTACACTCTTTAACCCAACCCACATTCATTATGATACATATTCACATGTACTTACACACATCTTCGTTTATATAATTATTACTAATCACACATAAGAACTGGCTGTAAGAAATGTGTCAAGGGTCTGCAAATACATCCAAAGAGTAATTTTATTCTGAATCCACCTGATAAAAGTCAATCAGTCGCAGATTTCACACAAACATTTTATTAAAGGACAACTGATTTTTGTTTAATAGATGCTTTAAATATCTTCTGTGTTAAAACCTCGAACGTTATCTTGTGCCTGAGAACTAAAACTTCATTCTAGGTTTTAGAATAAAAAAAAAAACATAATCACTATCTTTCTGAATGTTTATCTGTAAAAATGTATGTAAAATAAATGATAGAGTTCAAGCTAACGGTGTAAAAAAGAACTGCAAAGAACTAATAAAAACAGTTCCTGATTCTTTTTGATTTTCAGCCACGATTAAGAGCCATTGTAGGAGGTCCAAAGAGCCACTTGAGGCTCTGCAGCCACAGGTTGCAGAACCCTGGTTTAAGGCAATCAGAAAATCGCATGTAACAGATCTAACCATCCGTCTTTATAAACATGTTTGATGGATATTTTTTTTCTTGCCTTTTACTGTACAATAAAGCAGATGTGTTGAAACATTACTGTGGTATTTAGAATACAATATATTTCATCTTTATATTTCATTTGTTTTTAAATAATCTGATAAAAAAACAACTAATTAATTAAATAACATTTCATTCAGTTAATTTATACAGTGCTAAATTACAGCACATGTAATCTCAAGAAACTTTGCATAGACAATGCAGTTGAGTCATATAGAGAGATTGGTTTAAATTTCCTATCAAATGAAGAACAGCTGATTTCAACAATAGATTAACTTTGCAGGATTTGTTTACCCTGGATGAGAAAATGGTGAAAAATCTATCAACTTAAAAATGTATTTAGTATTTAGGACAACAGTGGTGTTGGGTGCAGGAGTTTCCCCTGCATTCGGACGGTTGTCAGTTCAAGCTCCGGCTTTCAGTGACCTGTCCTTGGGCAAGACACTTCACCTGCATTGCTGACCGATGGTGGTCAGAGGGCCCGGTGGCACCAGTGTA